GAGAGAGAGAGAGAGAGAGAGAGAGAGAGAGAGAGAGAGTGCGTGAGGTGATGACAAATGAAGCGGAAGAATTTTAAATTTTCAGTAATCCATTTATTTTCCTTTGATATGTAACATGTTGATTTTCCTTCAAGGAAAAAGGTAGCATGCACGATGGCATTTTTCATGCTCGTTTTTTTGAAAGACATTTTTAATGCTTCGATTGATGGTCCGGACCATACTCTGTTCAAAGTTGAAACACGTCCGGATGGAGCTGACAGATGAATCCTTAATCTCACTACAAGATAATTAACATTGTATTTTTATTTATTTAGTATCATCAATTTGGCACACGAACACTCACAATTCACAAAGCTAGTAGTAGCTAGTTACAATTTCCTCAAAAGACACACACACCTCAGCCGAGAATGAATCAATACATATCGATCGATGAGCAAAAGAATAGGCGCAGTACTACGTACATGGTCAAATAAGAACGCTAAGTGCTACCACGGGTCCACGTCCAATCCAAATGAATCCATCGCCACTCTTCTAAACAAGAAAGATGATCCTTGATGCATGTCGCCATGGATGGACCGATCATACGACTCTGCAGTTGGCCCTGATCTTGCCGCTGCTGCCGGTGAGCGCGCCGATGTAGCCCATCTTGACCATGGCAGCGGCGAAGTCGCTCTGGAAGGTGGCCGGGTCGTTGGCGTAGGAGACCACCTGCACGGCGGTGTTCCCGTCGCTGAGCAGCGCCTGGTCGGAGGCGAGCAGGCCCCGGTTGGACATGACGCCCTTGTAGAACCCTTCGTCGAAGGAGTTGGGGGTGACGGCGTCCATGGGCACCAGCGGCCCCGGCGCAGCGGACGCGCCGCACTGCTGCGCCAGCTGCGCCACGTAGCCGGGGTCCATGGTCGGGTCCTGCGCCGTCGGGGACGGCGTCTGCAGGCGGCTGCTGAAGGAGCTGCAGTGCGAGCCGCCGATGGTGTGCGCGCCGGACAGGGTCACCAGGTCCTTCTGGCTGAGCCCCTTGGAGGCGAAGATCTTGGTGAGCTGGTTCACGTTGGGGGTCGGGGGCGGCAGGTTGCCGCCCGTGTCCTGCGCCCGCGACACGCCCCCGTCCCTCCGCCCCGCGGGCACCTGGTACGCGTTCCCGCCGGTCTGCGTGCGCACACGCAGTCACCATCAGCGATTGACAGACTAAACAACGGCATCGTGTGCCCATGCAGGTGCAGCTAGTAGCGTCATGTGGTGCACAGAAAGAAAGGGAGAAAGGCAGGGGACACAGATGGCAGATCACATAAGCTTTACGTACTCAGATTCTGATAAACCCATATGATCATGTGCTGTGTGGTTTCCTAAAGCGACAGTTTATATACTGTATTAACCACAAAATGCAGCCGATTATATTAAAGCCGGGGCTAATGATGCATGGGTTTGCTTTACGGCACGTACCAGCGCGACGCTGTCCCTGGCAGCGAAGGCGAGGATGTCGGCGCAGGAGACGACGCCGAAGCAGGCCTGCTCCACCCGCGCCTTGATCCGGTCGACCACCTCGAACCCGCGCAGGCTCGTGTTGGGCCCGGCGTCCTTCTCCGCCGTGTTGCCCTTGCTGGAGTCGACCAGCACCGACGCCTCGCAGCCGCCCACGAAGCAGTCGTGGAAGTGGAGCCGGAGGAGGCCCGCCGCGAGGCCCGGGTTGCCGGACACCGCCTTGCTCACCTCCTGCTGCACGATGATCTCCGCCGCCGGGCACGAGCTGTCGTAGAACCCCACCCGCAGCTGCGCGCGCACCCCCGCCGTCGACGCCATGATCAGCACCACGTAGGAGAGTACCGCCGCCGCCGCCTGGACCAGGCCCATCGCGCCGCCCCGTCTCATCTGGACCTCCATTGCCGCTTGCTGGTACTCGCTCTGTTGGCACTGACACTCTTTATACACTGGCTTAGTGGCTTAGCTATACTTCTCTGCTAAGGAAGGGGAGAGCTGATGAGTGGAGCGTGTTAAATAGTAGAAGGTTTACGAACGATTAAACATTGGAGGGAAGGGATTAAGGGGAATCTCGACCGATTGGCGGTGCATGTGCGGCCGGAGGAGGAAAAGGGTTGGTAGTGGAAATATGTGGTGGACAGAGTGGGGTCGCGCGCGGCCATGGCTTTTCTGCCATGATTGCTGGCAATGGAAAGGCTGCGAGATCTGCGGCACTCCAATATTTTCACCTGCATGCAGTACTATGTCAAGCCATGGATTCCCCCAGAGCTGCGTATGCACGCCATTTTTGCGAGGAAGATGAAGTGGCGATTGTTGCTGCATCTTGTAATGCCACGGCGGCGTCGTGCATGCAAGAACTGTCATGTCCTGACACTAGAACTAAAAAAAGTTGGCAGATACTACTGCTTGCGTTGTTGTTTGGACGATTTAATTACAGCCAAGACTGAAGTATGACTTGCGTCTCCTTGATAATTCAGCTCTGTCTGAGCTGGTAGTCTTGTTCATCTCCGGAACTGAGATTTGTAGTAGTACGTACTACTATATTTGTGACCAAACCAAGCTTAATCATTGAGGCCTCGTTGCATGTTGGGGGAGTCCGATTGCTCAATCTTAACTATATAACCTGAATGGTCCAATGAGTACCTTTACTCTATTTTAGATTTTAGATGCTGCTGTGTCTTCGTTTTTTCTGCATGTAGCAAACGCCTAAAAGGGGCAGAGGCATCGGATACACACGGCATGCATAGCTAGCAAATCCCGATTCCTGACAGGCAAGCTCCATCCAGTCAGTGTAGAGATGCAAGCAGAAATAGCAAATGCGCCACAGCTAGAACGAATCCAGCAGGGCGCGAATGACTGTCCCTATTTCTTCAAGCTTAACCATGGAACTGAGAAGTTACGACATTGTTGCAGAGCATCTATTGTCTGTAGCAACCTTAGCAGCTAGCTGGCCATGAGTTCTTTGTACCGCATTGTTCAACGACGTGAGGTGTCCGTTGCATCGGTCTTTCAATCTATCCCCCTTAATATACAGTTCAGACGAGTGCTAGCGGGCAATCGTTGGGAAGAATGACTCCGTCTGGTTAGGAGACTGATGGAAGTGCAGCTTTCTCAACAACCCGATGAATTACGCTGGAAGTTGACTAAGTCTGGAGTATTCACGGTTAAATCAATGTATATTGATGTAATTAATTTGAACTCCATTCCTACGTCCAAACATGTGTGGGATGTCAAAGTTCCTTTGAAAATAAAAGTGTTTATGTGGTTTGTCCATAAACAAGTAATTTTAACTAAGGATAACTTGATGAAGCGTATTGGACAGGACCTACTAGGTGTAGTTTCTGCGATCGGGATGAGACTATTAAACACCTATTTTTTGATTGCCCGCTGGCCAAGGTACTTTGGCAGACGGCCCACATTGCTTTCAATATCAAACCCCCGACTTCTGTTTATGTGTTCTTTGGGACATGGCTTAATGGGTTTGAGTCTAACGTAGCGAGACATATTCGGGTTGGGGCTTGTGCTTTGTTGTGGACTATCTGGAATTGCAGAAATGATTTGGTCTTTAACAGAATATCATGTATACAATTTTTGCAGGTTTTATTACGGACTACGGCACTGATTCGTTCGTGGTCGCCACTCACCCAGACGGAGGCCAGGGAGCATTTGGTTACTGGGTCTGTCCGCTGGGAGATGGTAGCTCGGGATATCTTCAACCGGTTTGGATGGCGGTCATGTAATAGGATAGGCATTTAGTGTTCCTATCTACTTTACCCAGCCGGTTGTGGCATCTTGATTTGGCTAGTTGTTGTTTCTAGCCTTTTTTGGCTCTGTGTGAGCTTTTTCTACTTTTCTACGACCATTGGAACCATGTTGGCACTACTTCATTTTTTAATAAGAGGGCCGTATGCATCGTGCTGATGCAGAGGCCGGGTTTTTTCCCCCATTTTCGAAAAAAAAAGCTGGCCATGAGTTCTTCTTTTCGAAAAGGAGGAAATTTACTACTCTTTGGCCTCTGCATGCACCAACTGAATATGCATGCGGCCACATGGTTTCAGACGTGGTGATGCATGCGATCGAATGCAGCAAGATAAGAATGCTATTTAGGCCAAGCGGAGATACTGTATGTTTTAACCAAGAACAAGGAAGTACAGATACAGATCCACAGATTAATCTGCAGTGCACATGCAGTGATGCAGACCGTGCGTGTTTGGTAGATCGGGCTCGGGTCATGACAAGACTTATGTGGACTCTTGCCGTCTGAGTTGGTTTGAGCTCAGGTAACGACGGATCATTCGTCCCGGCAAAGACGCAGAGTGTGGATCGAGGGAGCAAGTTCAAAATTTTATAGGAGGGTTCCTCGATCGACATCACATGATAGGTGAATATTCATGTAGAAAAACATAGCTGACTGCGTTAACTGAGTGCGTTGGAAGTGGCGGTCGGTCAGATGCATACATACTCCCGCGCATGGCGAGAAGCAGGAAGGTTGTGGCTCGAGCGAAACGAAAGCAATGTGAACGCTGTTTTTATGCTATAAACCGGGTGATGTCTTGGAATCTTGTGAGTGGTGTAACCTTTGACATGCTGTCATCGATGATCACTCGTCGGCCCCTTTTCTTTCGAACAGAGAAGCATCGGCTTTCCGATTCACGGTGCATAGATTAGGCTTATGACGTAGCCTGCACATGGCAAAAAAGTTGGAAGGCGCGTACCGCGTACCGCGTACGGGTAAGCCGTTGCCCCCAGCCCAAAACGGCTGGCTGCCTGGCTAGGAGCAGCGACATATTTTGCTGTCCGAAACCGCAACCCGGAACATGTCTATTCACACGGACAACCGTAGCCATGGGCCATAACAGCAAGCCGGCAAGGAGAGCAAAAGATTTGTCATTTTTATTGATTTGTCATTTTAGAAACTCTGAAGTAATACCCTTGGATTATATCCAGATGGCTAAGAATCTTACGAAAGGGCTATCACGGCTTATGATAGAAATTCATCGAGGGAGATGAGCATGAGGCCCATGTTAGTTGCCATGGCGATAACCCAACCTATGTGATCGGAGATCCCATGAATTAGGATCTGGAAAAACAATCCAACGGTCAACTCGAGAGAGTATCCTTACTAACCCACTTCGTTGAGGATGCAATACTATCATAATCTGTAAGGCATACTAATTTTTGTCTTAATGTGTTCCAAAGTTTGCGTAAGCAAAATGCTATTCTAGAGAGCATTCTTTGAAAGAACACATTTATGTGATCCTGGCAGCTGGTTACAACCTATGAGATTGGGTATCGGTAATATCTAGGAAGCTCACGAGAAGGTAGCGAGTATGACTAATATGCTTCACCCATGGGGTTTAGCCTTCGGCAACCACGCATCAGCTGACAATAGGCGAAACTTCTGCATGCTAAACTAACAATTCAAGGCATACTCCATTGTTCAGTTATGAAGAAATCTAATCTTGTTGCTCTAGTTAGAAGTTCAACTTAACAGTATCCACTATTTTTTGGTAATCAAACATTGTTCGAAACAGTTGACAAACTTATGTGCCTCAAGATCTGGTGGCGGATTATTGGATTATAGATAGGCTTTGGCACATATAAGACAATAAACCCTGGTTAATCTCTAAGGCTCATTTAGGTACATTGCAAGTGGTGGGAAGTTTAGTATCACACTGATAGTGGAGTGAGAGTGAGACCCCTTTATAATGACTGCTCTACGACATGCCATTGGGAGCTTGAGAAGAGGAGTTGTTCATGTGCGCTTCGCCTCCTCCGTTGCCCGCCTCACCTCGTCTCGTCATGACATGTGTGCGCTCCACGGGTTGCGAGAATGAGCCGTGCCTTATTTTTGCCGGTCAGGAATGGTTAATTAATCTCGGATTAATTAACGAGTTGCTACAATAGTGCCACTATAAAAGATGTTAGACCGTGGGCAGTTCGCGGACTCGGTCGTGGGCCTATATAACAAGGCGCTGGCTAGTAGAGTGAACGCTAACTCACTCACTTCCTCATGCACAAACCTAGCTGTCATCTAATGTTCCTCTCTCTGTGCTGTTTCTGGCGATCCCATCCCAACGATTGCGTGCACCGTTAGTCGAGCGGCCCATAGTGTTATGGTTGACCTATAAATGAACTACTAGGGTGCCTCTATATCTCGCCTTCAGCGAGTCTGGCTGCTGACTCGCTGAAGGGGCAGGCGAGTTAGGCCGGCCCATGTGCGGGGGAAGCCACGAGCTCTTTTTCCTGTTTTATTCGCGTTTTCTGATTTCTTTTTGTATTTTTATTTATACTTTAAAATATTTTAAATATATATGTTGCCAAAAAAAACATTTGAAAAATATTGAACAAGTATTTAAAAACTGTTGAACAAGTATTTGAAATTTTTTCGATCATGTATATAAAAAAATTAACCAAGCGTGTGAAAAAATGTTGAACAGATATTTGAAATATATAGAACAAGTATTTGAAAAATGTTGAAAAAGTATTTGAAAAATATTGATCATTTATATAAAAATTTTAAGCAAGCATTTGAAAAAACATGCTGAACAAGTATTTAAAAATGTTAATCAAGTATTTGAGAAATGTTAAATGCTTATATAAAAATGTTGACCATGTGTTAAAAAATGATGAATTTTTTAATCATGTATATGAAAATTTTAATCAAGTAGTTGAAAAAATGTTGAACAAGTGTTTAAAAAATGTTAATCAAGCATTTGAAAAATGTTAACTGTGTTTATAAAATATGTTGACCATGTATTCAAAAAAATTAATCTTTTTATTTGAAAACTTTTAATCAAGCATTGAAAAAAGTTTAAAATGTATTAAAAATTATTGATCATGTATTGGAAAAATGTAATCGAGCATTTTAAAAATATTGACCTTATATAAAAATTGTTAAA